CCTTCATCTGATGAGCAGGCCTATAGGGGTCTGGACAGTCTGGCCACCAGCCGGTCCAGTTCTGTGGCTGATCCTGCTCCCAGCATGCCATGCTCTTCTGACCTCTGTGCTGGGCGGAGTCTGTGCCTGGCGCGCTGCCCTTTGTCTGCCGAGTGACCATCTGCTCGTGCAGCAGCAGCACCCAGACTTTGCGCCCCTTCTCCGTCGGCAGCACTGCTCTCACTTCCTGTCTTACATATCTGTACGCATTTATGTTCATCCATGTTCCTTATTTACATGTACACCTAACTCATGTACAAGACAGGAACTATTTTGCAGCTACACTATGTTTTAAAGTGTTTGTGTCTTCTCTGTAGGCCATGTTAATTTAGCACATGATGAATGATCAGTGTAGCTTGTCTGGCTAAATCAAAACTCAGTCACGAGAAGGAACAAATGATGCCTGGTTGGATATTCCATGTAGGTACTGCTTTGTGGTGACGATGGAGAGGAAATGGACATAAGTGGAGAGGAGAGTCTGACAGCAGACCTTTTCCATCCCCCGCTGAGCAAATGGATACAGAGACATAGCAGTTTAGGGCATGAGGGTAAACCGAGGTTACCCATAACCGTAAAATGATTACTTTTACTTCATTGTCCTTTCCATGCCCTGCAGCCTTGCCATTTTCCTGTGTCATTTGCCAAGAAAATCAGCTATCACAGTGCCCACACTAGAGTAAATACACAATAAATGTTTTGTACGAATGAATGAATGAACAAATGAAGTCATTCCAGTCCTTTCATTTGACAGGTAAGGAAACAGACCCAGAGGTGCAAAGAACAGGAAAGCAGAAAGCACCCCTGTGCGAGCTGCTACCACGTTCACATTGCCGACACCATGGGGTGCTTCCACCTCGATTATTCAGTGTCACTCTGTCAGGAAGAGCATAGCCCTGGCCGGGTAGCTCAGTGGTCAGAGGGTCGTCCCGATAGGCCAAGGCTATGGGTTTGATCCCTGGTCTGGGCACATAGAAGAAGCAACCAATGAATGCATAAATAAGTGGAACAACAAATTGATGTTTCTCTCTCTCTCTCTCTCTCTCTCTCCCATCTCCTCCTCCTCTCTCACTAAAATCAATCAATAAAAATTAAGAAAAATCAGCTTTAATTACACAACTATATGTTAGAAGAACTTGAAGCCACATGAATAGGTGGTAACGCATGTTCCCATGTGTACATGGAGAGAAATAGAACGGACTATGGCTTTGGGTGGCAGGAATCTGCTTTTCCTAACCTGTGCTGTTTCAATGGTAGCAGGTGGGAGATAGGGTAAGCTCCCAGCAAGATCACCAGACTTCACGGCTGCAAACCAGAGCTCGGTTTCTGATCTTGTGACCTGACTCCAGGCAAACCCTTTGTTGTCTCAGAAGCTTACTTTCCCATCTATGAAGCCAGGCGCATAGCAGCAACCCACCGGGAGCTGGGTGGTGAAGGGAGGCGCATGCAAACAGCCGGCCCCACGGAAGAAGGGAGGACCCTGACGCTCCAGCTCCTGGGAGGGTGCAGAGCGCACAGGGCTTTCTCAGCGGCGCTCTGTTCCCTTGGTGACCGATTGGCAGTGTCAGCTCAGCCCAGCCTTCATTTGTGTAAACAGATGGAATTCCCGTAAAAATGCACTTCCCCATTACTGTGGTCTGTGCACAATATGTCAGACGGAAATGACTTCTGCTTCTAATTCTTTTGAATTCACAGTTTAACGTAACTGAGTAATAGAGAAATAACAGCTACAAACACACGTGTTTCTTCTCATAAGCGTCTATTCTCTAAGAAAATGGAACCACTCCAGGAACCAGAGGCAGGAAAGCGAACGTCCCTGCACGGGCAGCGTAACTCTGATGAGCAAGCCGGCCACTGGCTGCTTCCTAATAACCGAGACGCTGGCTTTTCCGACGTCCCTGTCAGCTGCGGTGCTGAGCGCCTGTTCACAAGGAGCCCACCAGGAAATGAGGTGCATTCTCAGCTGTGCACAGGAGGCCTTTGCTGGCGATGTCATGCCTGCCTTTCACATAACACTGCCTAGACCAAGTGTCAACATTTCTGTTAAGCCCTTTAGCTTTCCATTTTTATATTAAAAATTTCAGTTAAAATGCAATAAATTCACACAAAATAATAAGATCAATCAAGATATACTTCCAATATCTCTTCTCGGCTCTCTGCTGGCCGCTCACTGGAGAGCCTGGGGCAGCAGGCGAGGGCAGGACCCGGCAGTGCTGAGCTCTGCCTGTTTGGCTTTGGGCCGCCCTGGCAGTGAGGCTGTGCGTGGCTGCAGGAGGAGCGCGGGCTGTCAGAGGACAAAGGCCAGCACACAGCTCTGAGCTGTCTTCTAGGGCCCTCTGCTGCATCAGCGTAACCCATGCTGACAGGCACAACTCAGTTCTCTTTTCTCCAACCGCCAGCGGGCGGGAGGTGCTTTGCTCAGCGCCCTGTTGGCTCCTGGGACAGGGACACTGATGGAGTGAAGACAGGAGTCAGGAGAGGCCCGGGTTGATTAGAACGACAGGAGACCTCAATCGCCCGGGACAGCTGCTGACAGCAGGGAATTCAGCGGCCAGAGAGGCTGAGTCAGCCCTTGCAGCCAGGAACCAATGGAAGAGCACAGAATGGGCATGCAGCTCAACCGCAGGACATGGGTTTTTTTTTTTTTTTTCCCAAAGAGGCTGTTTTTTAAAAAAACAAAACTTCCAAAAATTTACTTTTGTTTTCCCTCCAAATCTACCGAATTTTACTTCACCTAAGAAAAGTGCACACAGAACAATGAAGCCAGGGGTGGGCAAACTTTTTGACTCGGAGTCAGGAGAGGCCCGGGTTGATTAGAACGACAGGAGACCTCAATCGCCCGGGACAGCTGCTGACAGCAGGGAATTCAGCGGCCAGAGAGGCTGAGTCAGCCCTTGCAGCCAGGAACCAATGGAAGAGCACAGAATGGGCATGCAGCTCAACCGCAGGACATGGGTTTTTTTTTTTTTTTTCCCAAAGAGGCTGTTTTTTAAAAAAACAAAACTTCCAAAAATTTACTTTTGTTTTCCC